GGTTTCAAGAGGTTTTCCCTGACTTTGATCTCAAACCTAAACACCACTTCTTGGAACATTATCCACACCTGATTCGTCAATATGGACCGCTTGTTGCGTTATGGACTATGCATTTTGAAGCGAAACACAGTTTTTTTAAGCGAGTTGCAAGAAATATAAAGAACTTCAGAAATGTGCTCCTTTCGCTTTCTGAGAGACATCAGTATCAGATGGCACATCACTTGTATACATGTACTTTTCCCAGGCATCGACTAGAAGTGTCAGATGTTTCCACAGTTCACATTGATGTCCTTGACAAAGGGATCTCCAGTGGATTGAGAGACAAGTTTTTAAATGTGGACACCGTGCACCTAGCTAACAATGTGACACATAATGGTTTGAACTACAAAAGGGGGATGATCTTGATTCATGGATCTGTTGGAGGACTGCCAGACTTTTGTGAAATAATCCAAATGGTTACTATAGAACAAAGATTGATCTTCATTGTCAAGAGACTCAGTGGGTGGTATATTGAACACTACAGAGGTTATTAACTCGAAACATCACCCGTTAAGGAAGTGGACCCTATTGGGCCTCAGGAACTGCAAGATATATATCCCCTGGCTGATTACAGAGTTGGAGGAATGCGTCGTTACCCTTAAAAGATATGTCCATTTATAAATGGTAAGGCCTATGATTTCGTCCAGAGAAAAAAGACCCTGCTATTTTGATGATATTTTGAGTTAAGAGTTATAATTGTGATGTCAGTATCTAGTTGGCTATTTAAAGGGATAGTTCACCCTAAAATGAAAATTCTGTCAGTAATTACTCGCCCTCATGTTGTTCCAACCCTGTAAGACTTTCGTTCATCTTCGGAACACAAATGAAGATATTTCTGATTAAATCCGAGAGCTGGATCACTCCTCCATAGGCTTCTAAGGGATTGAAACTTGCCGGCCCAGAAAAGTTATTAAAGACATTGTTAAAATAGTCCAAGTGACTACAGTGGCTCAATGTTAAGTTTATCAAGTGACGAGAATACTTTTTGTGTGCAAAAAAACAAACAAAAATAACGACTTTATTCAAGTATTCATTTCCTTCTCTCTTGGCCTCTAGATAGTTCACGTAGTATAATTGCGTAGAGCTTCTGTGTTGTACGTCACACGTAGCCTCACTATTGGCCGACGCTGGTCATGTGTGTGATGACTGTGACGTTCAACCAGAAGCTCTACGCTGTTACACTACGTGAACTCACTCGAGGCCCACAGAGAAGGAAATGAATACTTGAATAAAGTCGCTATTTTTGTTTGTTTTTTGCGCACAAATGTATTCTTGTCGCTTGAGAAACTTAAGATTGAGCCAACTTAAGATGAACAAACTTTAATGCCAAACCCACTAGCAGTAAATCAGTGTTAATTTTGTCAGCAAATTTTGATTTAGTTTTAGTCTTAGTCTTTTGACTAAAATGCCATTTAGTTTTAGTCATATTTTAGTCATCTGAATTGTTTTAGTTTTAGTCTAGTTTTAGTCGACGAAATACAATAACATTTTAGTCGACTAAATCTACAGTAGATTTAGTCGACTAAAATATAATGGGTTTAGTTCAATTGTAATGCGTTAATTTAGAATTTCTCTAAAATTTCCAAACCCATACTCCCGGAGAAAACATCTATTAACCTATTAATATGAATGATTTTTAAGTTTGAACATGCAATACAGATACAGATTTAACTACTGTGACTTAAAAAATATCTTAAAATGAAATAAAACCACTTTTCCTAAAGTACAACACAGTCTTCTTTACGATGAATGATATATTCATTCCTTATAACTACTTACACATCATTCTTTATTCTTTCAAGCAGACATATTTATTTGTATGAATTAAATATAATTAATCCTTATTAAAGCTATTAACAAACAGTGAATGCTTTTCTCTTTTTCTTTTGTTACTTGATCAAAATTAAGGACACGGACCGCATTAGGTTTATTGCCACTGTCACTTTAAGACGTCGGATCATGTCCAATGACATGCGGATACAATTGCACTGATGCACATCCGACACACTCACAGTTTAAGACATAACCAGCATAGTTTACATGAATACTCTCCAAAAAGGACATTTAGACATACTGTTGTGTATTTGTCCATTCAGACACGAAAGCGAGCTCAATTCAGTAGCCTACTCGCGCGCTGTAGGTGTATTGTGCATGACTGCACGCTTCGGGTTAGGTGTGTGCGCACAGAAAACCGCACCGAAAAGAGCTCTTTTTTGCATCGTCACTCTTATTCAGAGATCTATATGTCTGCTCTACTCCAGTGTTAATTTCGTTGACGAAAATAACGACGAAAATTATTCGTCAACGACATTTTTTCACAGACGAAAACGAGACGATAACTAAATAAAACCTAGTTTTGAATGACAAAGACTATGACGAAAATCTATTGACATTTTCGTCAACGAATAAAAACTAGACGAAAATGTTAGATAGTGACGATTTGGGAAGCGATCCGTCAGAACTGATGTCCTGCGTGTGTGGTAGATGCGCACATTTGTAGGCTACTGTAACGTGATCTACCCCGCGGTCATAAAACGTTAAAAAAATGTGAACGTCTGGGAGAATGAGTAGGGCAGACATATAGATCTCTGAATAAGAGTGACGATGCAAAAAAGAGCTCTATTCGGTGCAGTTTTCTGTGCGCACACACCTAACCCGAAGCGTGCAGTCATGCACAATACACCTACAGCGCGCGAGTAGGCTACTGAATTGAGCTCTCTTTCGTGTCTGAATGGAGAAATACACAACAGTATGTCTAAATGTCCTTTTTGGAGAGTATTCATGTAAACTATGCTGGTTATGTCTTAAACTGTGAGTGTGTCGGATGTGCATCAGTGCAATTGTATCCGCATGTCATTGGACATGATCCGACGTCTTAAAGTGACAGTGTCAATAAACCTAATGCGGTCCGTGTCCTTAATTTTGATCAAGCAACAAAAGAAAAAGAGAAAAGCATTCACTGTTTGTTAATAGCTTTAATAAGGATTAATTATATTTAATTCATACAAATAAATATGTCTGCTTGAAAGAATAAAGAATGATGTGTAAGTAGTTAAAAGGAATGAATATATCATTCATTGTAAAGAAGACTGTGTTGTACTTTAGGAAAAGTGGTTTTATTTCATTTTAAGATATTTTTTAAGTAACAGCAGTTAAATCTGTATCTGTATTGCATGTTCAAACTTAAAAATCATTCATATTAATAGGTTAATAGATGTTTTCTCCGGGAGTATGGGTTTGGAAATTTTAGAGAAATTCTAAATTAACGCATTACAATTGAACTAAACCCATTATATTTTAGTCGACTAAATCTACTGTAGATTTAGTCGACTAAAATGTTATTGTATTTCGTCGACTAAAACTAGACTAAAACTAAAACAATTCAGATGACTAAAATATGACTAAAACTAAATGGCATTTTAGTCAAAAGACTAAGACTAAAACTAAATCAAAATTTGCTGACAAAATTAACACTGCTCTACTCATTCTCCCAGACGTTCACATTTTTTAACGTTTTATGACCGCGGGGTAGATCACGTTACAGTAGCCTACAAATGTGCGCATCTACCACACACGCTCAGGACATCAGTTCTGACGGATCGCTTCCCAAATCGTCACTATCTAACATTTTCGTCTAGTTTTTATTCGTTGACGAAAATGTCAATAGATTTTCGTCATAGTCTTTGTCATTCAAAACTAGGTTTTATTTAGTTATCGTCTCGTTTTCGTCTGTGAAAAAATGTCGTTGACGAATAATTTTCGTCGTTATTTTCGTCAACGAAATTAACACTGCAGTAAATGTAACTGCAGGCATGTATGGTGAATTGAAATTGTTAAAGGGTTAACTGCTGGAAAAATTGCAAAAAGATAAACATTCTGAATTTATGTTTAGTATGAATGTTCAGTATTCTGAATGTTTACATATTAAAAAGATGTAATGTCTTCCCATTTGGCACATACTAACTGAGTAACTTCTGTCTTGCAGATTGCCATGGCTGTATCAAAACCTGCAAGACTGAAGGTGGTTTTAGGGGAGAACAACATTGAAAAACTCAGCCTTCCTAGTGGCATACCGGAGTCACTTGAAGACCTTCACTGCTCAATTAAGACGACCTTTGGCATAAAGAGCAACATCAGACTTCAGTACATGGATCAAGATTTTGGCAGTGATTTCTTCAATCTGAATTCTACCACTGACCTTAAGGATTTGGGAACAGTCAAGGTCATTCTTCATCAAACCACTACAGATCTCAGTACCACTGAGGCTGTATTGTCTCATTCCACTTCATTTAACTTAGATGACACAGTTTCTATGGCTTCAAATGACACCGTTTCTATGGCATCAAATGACACATCAAGTGTCACACTAAAAATGTCATCCCCTGAATCTGTTTTTTCACGAAAAGAGCAGTGGCCGAAAGACTTTGCAATTCCTCAATTTTCCTTTGAGACTGAACTCCAGCTAGAGCATCGAAATGCTGAATACCTTACAAGCGGGAAACTGCTTACTCTCAGCTCTCGTACAAAGACTGATATCCTAAATAGACTTGCAGGGGAAATTTTCAAATACAAGGCCTACCCAGAGGACACACACTTCTACATAGTCGCAGAGGCCTTGATCAAGAAGTACCCTTGTCTGAAAGAACCTGGCTCTTTCAGTGTATGGTCTGGTTGGAAACAGCGACTGAAGTATAAAATGGGAAATTACAGGACCCAACTCAAAATGCAGGGGTGTGTAGAGGTGTCTGTTAACTCGCTGAAAGCCAAAGCAGCGACAGATGGTTTCCCTGCAAAAAAATGAAGAAGCCGAAACGTGCAGAAGCAAACTTTTACCCTTCCCTTCCTGTTGGACAGACTTGTGAGAGTCTTGAAAAAGAAAGACTTGAACTTTTAACAGAGGCTGAAAAAAGGAAAAATGAAAGGGTTGTCAAGGAGAAAATGGCTCTCACGTTTGCTTACAGACGGCAGGAGGTAGTGAACCAGGAGCCCAGTGTTAGGGATTTCAAGGCGAGGTGGCCTGCGCTTTTCAGACATTACGAGGTATTGAAAAAAGAAGTTAAAGTTCTAGTTTTACTGGCTAAATACATTATTTGAGTTGATATAATAAAATTTTGCTTGTGCAGTTTGACTGTTGTTGACACTTTTTTTTTTTTTTTTTTTTGATTTCAGATCAATGCAGAGTTCCATAGGCTTATGGCTGTTCCACTAGAAGACACGTTCCTTGCCCAGTTAGATGTGCACATGAGTCAACTAATTAGAGTAATCCGTTTAAAAGGAGGAGCAACCCGTGAGAAGACTGCAGAAATTCTTCAGATTTTGGATCAGGTACGTCTGTGTGTTTTACATTAATACCAACTACACAATCTTATTTTAGTCGCAGTATGTTTAACAGTAACATTTAATTGTTAAATACTTGTTTTATAGCATTGAAATTTGAAAGTGTCATAACTAGGCCTGTGTATCACCAACAATGTCGCAATACGATACGCATCACGATACTAAAGCCACGATACGATACGTATCACGATATGGATCAATACGGAATTTAAATTTCTTTTGAGCTGAGTTTAGTAACAGTAATATCTGTTTATTGAATAACCAGTGTTATAACAGTTGTGATGACTGAAAAACAATTTAGTTTTTGTCATTAAAAAAACGAGTTAAATAAATAAAAAAGCTTAGAATGGCTCTTCCTTCTGCTTTTAAAGTCTGCCTTAATAACTGAAATGACAATTATAGTGACACTGAAGCATGTCTATACTGCTCAATGACTAAACAAAACTTAAAACATTCCATAAAAGCAAAAACGGTAACAACTTAAATTTAACTTAGTTTTCTCAAACTCTTTTAAACTCCTACAATTTGGTCTTAAGTGTTGGAATGTGCACCAAACAAAGTCATTTATTCTACGTTGAAATCATTTTAAATGAAGAATTTTTTTTTTTTTTTTGAACGTAGACATCAGTGTTTATATCTGAATAATGATTTTTGTATACTTCTGTGATGTATATATTTTGGCCAGTCATTAATACAAACTTTTATAGTTTATAAATGTTTATATTTTCTTGTCCTTTGCTATCCTCGGCGAAATCTGATTCTCTATTACAGATTACTCAGAATTTTAAAAATAATCACAATTGCTTTTTCACAGACTGAAAATATACGCACGAAAAGAGAGTGTGTGAAGGCCCTCATCGTTTTCCTGGGGGAAAATCCCAAAGACCTTATCAAGGAGTACCTTGTGAGTTGAAATTCCGCATATTCTATTTCGATTTTTCAGAAAGTTTAAATTTGGGTTTTGTAGTTATGAACGCAAAATGTATTTTGTTTAATGTACACTACTTTAGGAGAACCAGCGAGATGATTGCGAGGGTGAGCTGGAGCACCTCACCATGGCGGTGTATGTTATTCGGAAGGAGGGGGGAGAACATCATGAACCACCGGCTGACATAGGTGTCATCATTGAGGGTGTTAAAGTTTTGAATGAACTGCCGTCGTTCACATCAGCTTGTGCCTTGCTTCTCGGGATGATATACATCATCAATCTGGCTTACCCAAAACCACTTCGTTTGACATTCGAGGTATTCCAGAAAGTTCTCTTGCAGCTTGATCAGCACAAAATGTCACCAAAAGTTCAAAGTCTTTTCAGTAAACTACAGTGAACTTGCAGTAATGTTTGAATGTGCATATGTCTAGTCTGTGTTTGAAAAAATGTTTAATTTGTTTTCTTTTGTTCGTAGACTATCCATTTGTTCATTCATATGTCTAGTTTGAATGTGTAGTTGGATGTTCGAATCTGTAGTTGATTGGTTCACTTCAAATTTAGGGCATTGCCTGTAAGCTTTTCTAAAGCACTTTTCTCATACACTTATATGGTTCTATTTTAAGAATATATTAAAGGGATAGTTCACCCAAAAATGGTTCAAGTTGTTCCAAACCTACATGAGTTTCTTTCTTCTGCTGAACACAAAAGAAGATGTGTTGAAGAATGTTGGTAACCAGACAGTTGACGGCACCCATTGACTTCCAGTATTTGTTTTTCCCTGCTATGGAAGTCAATGGGTGCCGTCAACTGTCTGGTTACCAGCATTCTTCAACACATCTTCTTTTGTGTTCAGCAGAAGAAAGAAACTCATGCAGGTTTGGTACAACTTGGAACCATTTTTGGGTGAACTATCCCTTTAATAGTTTTTAGGTGGCTCATTTAAGGGAATAACCACTGTTTTTATATTTATTTTTATAAATGTATTAGTGGCTCAGTTTTGAGCAAGATACAGTGCAAAGACCACTTTGCAAAAAGACTGTTAATGGAATGGATGTGAAGTGTGTCAGTAAATTAAATTTCATTGGCACAACAAATATGAACAGTTTGTAATGATTTCTCAAAGTTTGTAATATGGAAAATACTGATGGTGTATACAATGAATTAATGTTAATAAATATGTTTAAAGCAATTTGATTATTGTGTGATACTGTGATTGACCTAGTGAAATTAAGTTGAGAAAATATAATAATTTAAGTTGAGAAAACGTCATTTTTTAGCAATTTTTGGTCATTGTTACCAATTGAATTAATTTTTTTAAGTTGAACCAACTGTAGGAAAAAGTAATACATTTAAGTTGGAATGCAGTGAAATTAAGTCAGACTAATGTAAATAACAGGATTGAATGAACTCAAATAATATAAGTGTTCTTGACCTAGTGAAATTAAGTTGATAAAACGTGATAATTTAAGTTGAGAAAACTAAAAAAAATTAGGTGTTACCAATTGAAGTAATTTTTTTAGGTTGATCCAACTGTTCACTTTTTACAGTGTATGGCGAGTATTTAGTGCCAAATCATGGATTACCAGGAGAAGGAGAAGGAGAAGTCTACCCTGCCGTCGCCGCCAGAACGTGTAGATTTTTGAATGGGATTGATTGGGACTGCAGACGGGAGACCAGCGGCGACTTGGCGGCGACGTCACAGGAGGAACGTCTTCCGGTGGCGACGTCACGGCGACGTATATTAGAATTCCAGTAAAAATAACGCCTACTAACAACGTCTGAACTAGGTACGTCGGCTCAAAGCCGTGTGACATAAACGTCGTCACTAGTACGTCGCCACCAGTACCCATTGTCTTGTACAGCCTGTTATAAATGCTTTTATTCCTCTTGCTTTATGTCTGCACTTTTTTAGCAATTACATTGTTCTTGAAGAACAAGACAGCAAATTAAAAATCTTAAGACCCTCAGTGAAGTTCTTCATTTTCCATCGGGATGGTACACTTAGAGAAACCATACTATTATGCAATGATACAAACGTAATTTCCGACTCACTTAATGCTCATTATATAAAGCTCCCATGATTCTACGAACACCATTTAATGTTCAACTGTAGACAAACATACAGGCAGTGTTGGGGATTAGGCTAACTACATACATGCAATTTAGTCAAATAATTTAATTACAAAATAAATGTAAGTGTTATCTGTTACAGTTAGGCCTACTGGTAAAATATGTAATTAAATCACAATTTCTTATGAAAATGTTTAAGATGCCATATGAATATTTTCTTTAATAAGCTTGGCTATATATTGAATAATATTCTTTTTGTTGCATATGTGTATTTCATGTGCACATTGTCTTCCTTTGCCATTTCCAGCCACAGTTGTTTAGTAAAGTTTGTAGCTGTTCTGGTGCTTTTGATTGGTTCTCATGTTTGAATTTGCAGCACTCAATTAAACTGCCTCTCAAGCTGTGTTTTTAAAATGGTTAACCATTGAAAAACAAAACATTTATGGCAGCATCAAATATGAGGAAAACATTGATGTAAATAAAACATGTAGCTTGTTGTTGGTCTATTTTTTATATTTTAAATGACAGTTGGGTACACAAAGTAAATGATAAAAGCACAATTTTAATCTACAGAATAGACCCAAAATAAACATCATGCCAGTTAAATGAAAGATGGGAGGCTAGAACTTCAAGTTGTCCCTGTTATCTATAATACAAAAATATAGCATAATTGTATGGCCTATAGGCTATTCAATTAAATTACAAATGTTACCAGTTATATTTTAGTTAGTTTTTAGTTTAAGTTAGAACTATAGTCTATTAACGAATAAATGTAAAAACACACTCAATGTAATATTTAATTAAGTAAACCCCACAATTAATTGAGTTTTTGAAGTTTCTGTTGTAACGTCTATTGCAGTTTTCATTCACTAGATGATGCCATTGTCTTTGAATAGGCCTTGTGATGAGTGTTTAACTATTTGATGTGTATGTGAGCTTGGCAGTGTGTTTGGTTTGTGACACTGAGTGTGATGTAGTTTTAGTGTATAAAAATAGTCTAAATGCATTAAATCTCCCGCTGGCCCATCACCTAAAGTGAAGTTATATGTCGTATTTTTTATAAATTACCACATGTGCATTAGTTAACAATGTGCACCCTTGATGCCTATTGCAATATTATGATATTCAAACATTAACTCACAAGATTTTATCGACTTTTTCAGCCTAAAATGCATTATTAAATTGTGCAATTGACAAAAAATGCAACAGTGCCATCATGTGATGACATAACAAAACAGCAAGACATTGAATCACTCCACTGAAGAGAACAAATAGGAAAGATTTTTTCCTCTTTATTAGTATAACAGTATTAACAATGCAACATGCAGGAATACATATAGTCTATGCTTACAACGCATAAAAATACAAACTGCAAATAGGAAAGATGAAAAAGAGAAGATTCGATGGATACTTTATAGAAGGGAGGTTAAAACTACGTAAAAGAGTTTTGCCTCAAGGAGTTCATTGAACAGTGGTCATATTTCTAGATATTTTCACACTTTCTTTTAGTTTGATTTACAAAAGAACCATCATAGACATCATACCAACAAAGCTAAAGTAGCCTAGTGTTTGTTTTAATAGTACAAACTTCTCCGCTGACATAACTTACAAATTTAAGCTCATTAATATCTTAGAATAAATATCCATTAGATTACCGTCCATTTAAATTTCTGTGTAAAATTTAATTTTACAGCAACACTTTTAATGACTAAATGGCTGGAGCATGTAGGCCTGTACTTCTGTATAATCTCTGGTTCCACACTCCAGTCCAGTTGGTGGCGCTAATGCACCTCTCAGCTAGTTTGCCAACCGCCAATAAAAAGAAGAAGAAGTCGAAGTTTGAGAAAAAAAAATCAAGCCTGACGGCGACGGGCTTATCGACGACGTAATGCACTGACGGAGTGGCCTATCCACATCCCACACGTAGCTGTCACACGACAGTCTCCTTTGTTAGGTTATCTGTGGCACTAAATACTCGCCATAGTATGGAAGGCCAAAAGGGCCAAAAC